GGGTTTAGAGTATAACACCAACAGGTATGCACAAAGGCATGTTTTTTCCTCTTACCTGTAAAGAACAGTTGCCCTTTCATGGGGAAAAGGAGAAAGGATGCATATGCACTGTGTGAGTGTGAGGCAGAGTGAATTTTGCAGCTCAGTAACTGCTCTTTCTCCACTGAGCAGATTCTTCATTTGTCCTGTGATCTGGAGGGAAAGGTGGTGGTGGGGAGAGTTTAATAAGTACCTTTCCTATCTGTAAATATTGAACATCCATTTTAGCAATAATACTGTCATAGATGAACCATTCAAAAGGAAGAGGTAGCTCAGTGAATGGAGCTTGAGGACACGAATTAACACACACAAATGAGTAGCATTCCCTCCATAAGGTGTTGCAAGGTTACGTATAGTTTCCCAATTATTGACCGTCTTCTTTGAAAGAAGAAAATAGGAAACCAGCAACTTTCCCTCACATCCATGTTTATCATTCTTTCCCCCATCAAAACATATGGCTTGAAAAACCCATCTCTCTTCTAGGTATGGAAGTACCCATAATCAAAGCGCTATCCTTTTCACCCATGCTACACCCTAGCTAGGTGTTGTGGTCTGCATGACCCAGGAAAAGTGCAGCTTGCGGATTTGGAAGGACCTGTGGAATGAGCAGTTCCCTCTGGAGAATCACAGAGGGAGATGTTGTCTAAACCCAGGAAAGACTGGAAGTTAAAAGCTGTAACTGAGAATTCCAAAAGATATGCCATGTGGTCAAAAGGGAGCATATGGAATAAGTTATCAAGGGAAACCATAGAAGCAAATTGTAACAGATTTAAAGAAAAAAAAAAAGTCAGGGGTTATGTTGCAAGAGAAGATGGAATTTGTTCAAGGTTGCCGTGTTGTGACAGAGCCACGGGGAAATCTAAAGGAGGGAGTGTTGTCGAATCAGAAGATGTTTCAACCTTCCCCGCTTTATCTGGCAGTTGTGTCTTTCACGATTTAGATAGCTGCAGGAGGTTAAAGGATCATAAGGACTGTGTTAATGCAGGGTACATCAGCTATGAAGTACCAGGCAGCTCTGTGGAAGTCAAGCTGGCCTTTGCACATCAGCATTAGGAGTTTGTTACTTTTTACAGCAGCACATGCAATGGGGAACCTCATCTCTGTGCTGAATGGAGTTGTATTTTCCAAGGCTCCTGTACGAGTCTGTTCCTCCATCCCTGTCCATTCTTAATGCACTCTTGTTGCACGCCTCTCAGTGGCATATCACACGTGCCAGTGATTTTAAATCAAGTAGCATAGTAACTATGTGAACTTAGAAGACTTATGCTGACATTACCAAGGCTGGTATTTCCATGGAAGAGAGTTAATCTTGGTTTAGTGCTATTTTCCTCCGCTACTGCGCGCACTCTAGCAAGTGGTTCCTCAAAACAGTCTCCACCTCTCTATTGCTGAGGGTATGGGGACAGGTACCTGTGTCTGCAGCTTCCCGGAAATACCTGGTATTTTTGAGTGCCTGGGCCCAAATAGAGCTGTAGTTCTAGATTTTCCTGATCTCCTGAGAACTGGCCACATCTGCCTCTGCCTTTTAGAAAACACAGAAATAGTGCATTGCTATTTGTTATCTATCTGACCGTTCATGTGAATTCCTCCTCCATACCACGTAATGATGCACAAGGTCATCAGTGTTTATGCCAAGTTTACACCTAAATTTCAGTAGGTCGGTAGCCATTTCAGCAACTAGCTGGAAGTATCTAACAGTGCAAATAAAGTCAGTCTAATACAACTCCCCTGCATGAAGCACAGAACAAAAGAAGAAAATCCAGCATTTTAAGAACTGAAGAAATCTGCTTCAGCCATGTTTATGCTACTAAACGTTTGATGTAAAATGGGTTGGCTGCTTGTGATGTGCAGGAATACAGAGATTAACAGGTTAAAGAAAAGGTTCTGAGGGATTATCTTTCTAGCCTGTGTGGTGGCTTTCACTGCCTGCAATGGGTTAAAACTGCCTTTCAGTAACAGGGCAGGATTCAGCCCTTTCATTTTACCTCCCTTCAGCCTGGGCTTTGTATCCAACCTATTGGTAGACTCTGTGGTTTTTGAAATCAAAGCTGTAAATTCAGTCACATAACTAAAGTCTGCCTGAATTACTGCACTGTGTGTGGCAGTTTAGTGGGAATGTGTCATATCAATTTTGGCTCTTGTATAAACAATTAGGTTTTGGCAGTGTGCATTGCAGCTTGATTGAAAAAAGCTCCCAATAAATGAAATTATTGTGCTTCATTTCATAATTATGCTAGGCTTTTTAAATGGTAATAGCATTCTTTTTAAGAGAAAAAAAAAAAGGAAGAAACATGATATGCAACATGTTATGTCGCAATGTAATGCTGATGTGATCCTGCCTGACTCTCCCGCTGTCTATTAACAATTTCCATCTCTTCTACCTTGCTTTGTATTCATAAGGCAGATAAAGAGTGGCTAGAGATACATATTTACATAGGTGTGTTTGTATATCCTGGATAGTCAGTGTAGCAGTAGTGCTAGTCAGCCTCCATGGATGTTCCTGCTCATTTGCTGCTCTGTGCAGCTGAGAGCCAGCTCTGAGGTGGGGGGCATGTAGCCACGTCACACAGGTCAGGGCTTCTTGTGTCAACCATCTCATCTGAACGGGCTGGAACTTTATTCCATAAAACATCAGCTTGTCAGTCGCCACTTCCTGGAATGAATCTGCAGATGAAATTTCCTAGATTGCTCTGAGAATCACGTTCCAGGGCTTGTGTTGATGATAGCCCTGGGAAGTGGAAAAGAGAAAGGTCCTGCAGAAAGGGTGCTGTAAGGGTGCAGGCACGCTGAAACAATCAAAAATGGTATATGGAGGAAAAAAAAAAAAAAAAGGCTGAGGGGACTAGTGGGCACAGGATCTCCAGCTAAGCATAATCATTTCCTGTTTTTTTTTGGGTGATTCAAGAATGGAAGGAAATATTTTTCAATTTGAAATTATTTTAGTTCTACAGCTTTATACATTCATCGCTTCTCTAAAATATTAGCAAGTCATTTTGTCTCTGCTCCATTTCTTCTATGTGATTGATTTACTTGTTGCCTCAGGTGGGTTAGGGAGAAAAGAGGGATATATTATCAAGTAGAAGGAAGGGTGATTTATTGCTTTCCCCTCACATGCACCAGCACTTTTCTATGGTTCTTGTTTGCAGAATCTAGAATAGCTGCAATTGGAAGGGAGCCAGCTACAAAGTCTCTGCCCAACTGAATTTTAAATATATCTAGGGATGGTGATTCTGCAGCCTCTCTGGCTGAGTTGTTCCAGGGTTTGGCCACCCTCATTATGGACCTTTGATTTCTTGTGTCTAGCTGTAATTTCCTCTGCTGCAGCTTGTGACCATTGCTTCTCATCTTTTTAGTGTGCATCTCCAAGAAGGGGCTGGCTCAGTCTTCTCTGTAACCCTCACAAGGCAGTTCTTATTTCAAGTTAGTACTTATTTCCATTTAGAAAATGTTAGGTAACTCCTGTGACTTTCCTTTGCCCTTGTCATTTTTTTCCTAACTTTAGCATGAGTTCGGGTGATTGTTATGGAGAGGCAAGACCAACCATTAGCACGTTTACCCTCACCTCGCCTTTGCTCTTCAGAACCACTGGCCGCTGTGTAGGCAGCATGGCAAATGCAGAGGAGGACAGCCCTCAGTGAATTATACACTGCTGGAATTAATGGATTAGATTTCTAAACATGAAAATTAGGTGAAAGGTTCAGTATGGGCAGATCATCTCCTTTCTTTCCTAAGCAAAGTAATGCTGCACTGTCAAGGCAGCTGGCGGCAGTAGAGCTGGTTGTGAAAAGAGAAGCACTGGCTCCCTGTGTTGTATCTTCTCCTAGTGTTCAGATTTCGGTATAGTTCCTGGGTCCAGGCAGTGTGCAGGGTCCAGCCTCAGCTAAGGATGTACAATGTGAATTGTATGAATTCTTGCTAGCATCTCATCTGCTTGAATATTGCCTCCTGCTGTGGGACATGCTGTCAGGGAAAGGATGCTCCTGTTGAGGCTAGGAGTAATGTGGGCACCCAAACCTAAGCTGAAAGGGTGCTCTGTGTGCTCCTTCCTGAAGAAGAAGCTGCTGGCCATGCCAGGCTGCTCTGGCACTCTGAGGACCTCAAGGTTGGGCCCAGCATAAGCAAATAATTGCAAAAAGCACCATGTGAATGGCACAAAGGTGGCCTAGGTAGGTCAGTGTGCTCTTCCTTGGGTTCCCACCGAGATGAGTTGTCTTCTATGTTCCCTATCACACTTCCAGAGTGTGAGCTCTGGAGCACACTTCCAGAGCTGTAGACTCATTGCCCCTACGGGAGATGTTACTTTGGGCGAGTTTTAACAGGAAATTTTCCCTTCTGTTATGGTCCTTCTCTTAGTTAATAATGTGGAAGTGCCCTGCTGCTTGCAGCTCTCAGGAGCAGCAGCAGAAAGGCAGGTGCTGGTGGTGCTGCTGCAGGCCGTGAGCAGGCTCGCGGGCTCGGGATGCTCGTGCTCCGGGCAAGGCCCTCTGGCCTGCGCTGGAGCTCCGCGTGGGAACGGGGCCCGGCAGAGCTTGGCCCTCAGGAACGCAGCGCTCTGGAGCGCTGAAGCTTGCTGCTTTGTTAATGCCCTTTTGGCCATCCAAAGATTTCTTTGGCCTTTGGTGCTTGTGCAATAAGGTTTGCCAAATTGCACTATGTTCTAAAGATAAAGCCAGTAGTTTTCAGCATGGATCTTTCTGTTCCTGAGCTATAAGCATCTGAAAATCAGATTTTAATATGCCTCCTTTCTAGGCATATTGCAATAAATGAATTCCCCTAAGGTGCCTCTTAGGGGACACCCCAATGCTTCCTGCTGCTTATTTTCAAGAGTGAAAGGGAAAAAATAAGATCTCCCAAAAGAAAGCCATGTACAGTGCTGAAGTGGACCTCTCTGCAAAAGGCACAAAGTGGTACCAGTCAGTTTAACAGTGTCCTTTTCTCTATTCTTACACCAAATTATTTTTTAGCTTGAGGAAAAGAAAGTAAGACTGCCAAGATGCACGCAGTGGCAGAGCTATTACAGCAGTTGCTATTACCAAATTCCATCTTGGGGTGTGTTTTAAGCTTGCTGCTCTGAAAGGAGCGTGGGAGCACAGCATGCCAGCTCCTTTACTCCTGCTCCCATTTTAAAAGCTTTTAAAATCATTATGGAACTTGCAGATCTTTTTAATCACTAATGCTACAGAAAGAGGATATGGCCTTCCAGAGCTTAAAAATTGTTTCCTGTTTCTTCTTGAACTTTCCTTTAGCTTAGGCGGCAGAGCTCAAATCCTTATGGAAGGGGCCACGAGCACGTTCCCTAATGAGAAACACTTTACCCCATGTGCAGCTCTGTCTCCTCAAGACGTTTTACCCACACGTTCAGGTTGTGGTTTGACTCATGGAACTATTGGTTTTGATCATATTCCACAATTTATTTGTTAAAGCTTGTGTTGCTTAAGGCAGTTCCTCTCTGATTCCTCGTTTAGTGGTCAGTTTTTGATGGTCTGTTTGCACTGTTTTGAGAGTCCAGCATTTGTGAAAACTATTAGGAAAGAAAAGGGGAAGAAAATATGTTAATTTCTTATAGATGGTGCAAAATATGCTCTCGCGTTTGAGAAGGAGAAGGCTAAGACATGATAATGAGGGGATTAAAATGTCTCTTCACTAAATAAGTATTTTGATGGTCTTTTATTCTTCGAGTTGTTAGCTGCTAACACCAGTTTAACTCATTTTCAGGATTATTTATAAATGCAATTAGTGCACCTCCTTTATGTCTTGTGCATTACTCTATCCAGGATCCTGTAATGGTTTAAAGGGGATTAAACTAAGATCAAATCAGAGAAAGTGATGTGATACTGCTAATTTACTTGGAAATCCTGTATGTTAGCAGTCTCTCTTGCATAACCATTTAAAAAAAATCATTATCACCAGGTTACTGTTTGGTATTCTGTGAAGACATCATCATTCTTCTCTAGTGTGGGAGGTCTGTGTTCCCCCCTCACTAAGTGTACATGCCAGTCAGCGTTTGCACGTCCTTTGACCTCTGTCTACTCTGGAAGAATATATTGTCCTGGGTCTTCCTCTTGCTGCTGATATGAAGCCTTTCTTGTTGCTTTTCACATCCATCTTCAGCTCCAGCTGTGGCTTTCCTAATGTCCAAGTGGTGCTCTGTTTTTCTCTCAGGTCATTTTTTTTTCCCTCTTCCACTGCTCATAAGTGTTGTTTTTGCTTTTGAGCTCCATCAAGAGTTTCTTGTTCCGGACTAGTGGGCTTTTTGCTGTTTCTGCTCAGCCTCCCACAGATGAAGGTCGTGTGTTCTGGTCCTCTCAGCAGGTTGCTCTTGATGATCGGCAAGTTCCCTGGGCTTGTCTCCCCTTCAAAGCAGCCTCCCATGGGATCCTACCTATCAGTGTCCTGAACAAGCTGATGTTCACTCTCTTGAAGTCCAGGGCTGTTATCCTGCTAATTGCTCTCCTTGCCTCCCTCAGGATCTTAAACTTCACCATCTCAAGGTCCCTGAACCCAAGGTGGCCATCACCCGTCACATCCGTGATCAGTTTTTCCTTATCTGTGAGTAGCAGATCCGGCCAAGCATAATCTATAATCCGTCCATCCAGCATTCACATCAATGTATGGAAGAAATCTCATGAACTGCTTGTGCCCCATCAAGTTGCCTTTCCAGTGGATCTCAGGTCTCCAGGGAGAACTATGGCTTGTGATCATGAGGTTTCTTCCAGTTGTTAAGTACTTCCTCTACTTGCTTGGCACTGCATAGCAAAAGCCCACCACAATGTTGCCTCCAGTGCTGGCCCATAAGGACTTGCTTGTTGTGTTTCATGGCAAAACTCAATGCACGGAAGCCATTTACTTGCACAGGGCCAACCTCCTTTCCTCTGGTCTGTACCCACTCATTAGAGCACCCCAGCTGTGTGAGCTGTGTGAGCATATGTGTAATCACAGTGACATCAGTGCTCTGCAGCTACAACCAGACTTCTCATTCTCACGTTTCTTTTCCATGCTGCTTGCATTATTGGATAGGCACTTGAGCAGGGCCCCCTACTTGCATCACTTTCTCAAGGGGCACTGTGGTCACCTGTGACTGGTTCCCTCAAGCCACCATTCTCTGCATCTCTTCAGGCTTTGATTTCATGTGTGGTTTCATATAAAAGAAAGGATGGAGAAATCTGGAAAGTGATCCAGTTTTCACCAGCTGTATGATGAGGGATTTGGGGGATTTGCGTGAGGGAGTAGGAGAGAGACCTTCATAGATGAGTAGTAGAAACTGCATTGCAGAGAACACTGTTGTGGATTTTTGGAAGGGTTGCCCTGAAAAGAGTTCTCATATATACAGTGACACAACCTTCAAGGAGCAGTGCATTACATGCAGAGTCAGGTGACAGGCAGCTTGCTGACTTCTGAAGCATTAACCTGAAAATAATGTGCTGTGTGTGAAGATGATGTTAACATAAAAAATATCTGATGTCACAGGAGGCATGCCCAGCTGTTCAAAGAGCAGTATTCAGGAAATCTGTTCTAACTGGGCAGTGAAGAGAGTCAACTGTTTGTGAGATGTTTGTGTTTCCTGGGATTGCTAACAGCGCTTGTATTTCTCAATGTTTTCCTGCAGCCAGCCACCCGCTTCGCCCAGCACACAAGAAGCGATCCAGGGAATGCTATCAATGGCAAACCTCCAGTCATCAGACTCCTGCCTCCAGACATCATGGGGTACAAATCAAGCAAAGAATAACTCCATCTCCACCCAGAACTCCAAGAAAACAGGCGGTGGTAGCAACAAAAATGCAGGCAAGCGGTTACTAAAGAAAAGCACGAAAAACAATGTTGACATTGAAGATTACGATGAAGATCAGGACCACTTAGATGCCTGTTTTAAAGACTCTGATTATGGTAAGCACAGAGAAAGCAGTCTGTGTGTGCGTGCCTGGCTATGCCTATACATATTTTGTGTGTTTGCAAATCCTCCCCTCCTCCCATGGTTCTCAGGAGACATTTTTCTTTTTTTTTTTTTTTGTGGTTAGTGACAATGAAATCAACTGGGTATTTTGGCAAGGAAGAGTGCAAATAGTAAGAGGTTTGCATTGCAAAATTAAGGGGGCAGCTCCTAAATGCAGTCTGTGGATGAGAACAAGAGAATGTCATCTGTGGGAGTTGCGTTGCCATTCGGTGGTACCTCTGGGAGATTTCACTGTTTCAGCTCTCATGCCTGTAGTCCCCAGATCTGAATAAACAAGTGCAGGTTCATTTCTTGTACTGAAACTACTGTCTTTGTTTCTTGTTGTAGTTTACCCTTCTCTCGAATCAGATGAAGATAATCCAGTATTCAAATCCCGATCAAAGAAAAGGAAGAGTTCAGATGATGCCCCATACAGCCCGACAGGTAAGTCCACACAGTCTCTGCTCTCCAGACTCAAGTTAAGCCATGCAGGCCACTAAGGAAGCAGCTATTTTTCAAGCAATGTGGTATCTCTAAGACCACGACCAGCAATTCCTTTCTATAATGTAAAGAATGAGTCTTTTCCAGTGCAATGGGATTTGATTTCAAGTGCTGAGACTCAGCAGTGTCAGCCTTCCTCTCTCGGTTAGCAGTGGAAAGTCATTCTTGGTTGGGTTATTGGTTTACTTTTCTGCATGCTATTGGTGAAGGAATGACTGGTGGCCAACTTTGTAGTGATATAGAGACTCTGATGTCCTCATTGTGGGCAGGGGTCTCCCATGGCTCTGGCTGACGGAGTGGGAACAATTTGTGAGCAGGCCAATCAATGCTAAAGTCAGGTGGCTGCAGGGTTACGTTGACAGGAAGTTATTTGACCGTGTTACATCTTTATTGGCAATTTCTCCCCAAAAGTCTGTAACTGGGTGGAGTTTGTCAGCACCTCTTGCCTTTACATACATCCTGAGGAAGGAAGAACAGGAAGGCTACTGCATCCCTGGCCCTCCCTGCTCAGGAGGGCAGAGCTGTGCTGCCCTGTACATGGTTAAGATACTCACACGTTCTGCATATTCTGCATGTCTCACCTCCATCTTCTTTCATTGTAGCAAGAGTCGGTCCCTCGGTGCCTCGACAAGATAGGCCGGTGCGAGAGGGCACAAGAGTCGCCTCCATTGAAACTGGACTTGCTGCTGCTGCTGCAAAGTTGTCACAGCAGGTGAGGTTGCTTAAGAAGTAGCTGGCAGTAAATGAAAGCCCTTCTATACCCCAGCAAGAGTCATGCCTAAATAGCAGTGCTCAGAAGACCCAGCAGTCACAAGGGCAATGAATGGGATGGAGGTTCAAATGTTGCAGCATATCTTACAATGCCCCAGCACAGAGCAGGCAATGTGTCAAGAGGGTGCAAAAATATGAGAGAGAACATATTTCAGGCCAAAAGATCTAGTGAAAATCAAAAGGAGGTGCCCTGAAAGGAGTATGAATGAACCATAGATTGATGTGAATGTGAATGTCTGACTGGCGTGACTGCTTTGCCTGTGAAAATCAGCTGCTAGCAGTCTAAGGATTAACTCCTGTAGAGTTTTGGTGAACTGTGAGCATTTGTGGGTCAGTTCAGTGAAGATATTGAGACATTCCTGGGTGTTAAGTATGCTTCAGAGTTTGAATAGGTCAAATAGATGGTAAGTGCTTCATGCAAGTAGATAAAAGGTGCTCAGGTGACAAGGTCTGCTGGAACAGGTTGGCAAGATGCCTTGGGGAGTTGATGGAGACGCAGCCTTTGGTGGTGTAGGGCTTTTGTGATGGCTCCTGTGAGTAGAGTGTGATAGCAGTAAAGTGTGATATCCAAGAGTGTGATAGCAGGTTTTCATTGAGTAGTGGG